GAGTGGCCAATAAAAATAATTCAGAAACAGTGCTGCTTTGCAGGAACTGCTATTTTTTAGGATAGTAAAAGTCGTCGCAAAGATACAAAGTGGAATAAAAATCACGGCTCAAAAAATGCGGCATTAAGAAATCTTCTTGCTTACATGTTTGTCTTGTTCTCTTTTGCATCTATCTATACCATTCGTTCTTTCGAATTTGTCAGCTGTAACTACAGTGCAGCAGTTAGCAAAATATTCGCAAGTGTCGAGTGTCTTGTGAGTGAAGATGTTGGTCAACTCTTCAATTACGTCCAACCATTGCGTTCGTGTGGATAATTCTGCTCTGCAAATTTTCCTCTTGGGTGGACACTTGGTTGGATTGAAGCACTCGAACTAAGTGCATGAGTGTTGGCCACCGTGTAGAAAGCGTCAAGTGTTTTGAAAGCACTTGGCTTGAGAAAACAGTTTTTCTCGCTGGGGCGTACGAACAATATTTTTTTCTGGAATTTCATTGAAAAAGGGGGGGGGGGCATCTTTCAAATGAGTCTTCGCTTTGTGCGCATTAGAAAAAAAAATTGAGGGGAGAGAGAGAAAGGGCAAAGGCACGGTGGTGCAGCCACCATGCCTTTTGCTGTGCCACTATTCTTAGCTCACTGTGATTATAATTGGCAGAACATCTCAGTGCATACTGTTAGTGGGTTTTAAAAGAGACCGGAAGTATAAATTTTAGGCGACTCCTAAAGCGGCGGAAATAATATTTTTTTTTTGTATCTAGTGCTCTTTACACATGTGACGCTTACTCTACTTGCATATTCGCATAGATTTTTGATTGTTCACTGCCTTAAGCAACTAGCTGTAATGCAAGATAAGAGAAATAGCCTGCGCCAAACGGGTACAGGAACCTCCTCTTCAATATACTTGATAAAAAAACGTACAAGCCCCAGCCCCCCCCCCCCCCCCCCCCATCCGCGCAGGTCCTTCGACGCAAGTACACATGATATATTTGACAATGTCACATCTTTTGTAAAGGTTGCATGAGTTCAAATCTGTATTTGTCAATCGTGCCTACTTCTTTGGGGTTCTGAGAGCTTCCCACCACAGGTCGTTTTCGTTGACTCTTTCATTATCAGTTTGAGAGACGCAGTAACGTACAGATTTAAATTACGTACGACATAGAGATACATAAAGGCGCCGAAAAGCGCTATCGTGTATTCCGTATCACCATCGTCTCAATGCAGCCTCCGTGACAACAACTGAAACTGGTCACTTCTAAACCCTACATGCGATCCGACCTGCGGCAGCACAATTATAATCTTAAGCAACATTTAGTTGGTCATATGAGAAGTGTAACTTCTTTTGTAAGAATTTATAACTATATAGTTTTAAAGACTTTTTCATTGAGATTTTCCATCAGAATATATTTGAGTAAAACGTGAAAAACTGCATGAGTAGATGGAACACAATGCATAATTAAGGTGCAACAAGCTATGAGATAGCCTATATTTCTTTGTTTGCAGATGTAAGTGTTTTAAGGTAAATATGGTAAATGCTACAAAAGTGGGCCAGAGAATGACTGATCTCCTGACGTGACGCGGTACGCAGACTTAAATGCCAGATAAACGTAAATGTAGAGAGTACAAAAAGGAAAAATAATAAAGCGGCCTTGCCCGATGCTGCGGGGTCTTCCATTTGCATTTTGTTGACCTATATAATGTTTACTGAACAAGATTAACCACAACTAGGAGAGCGATCATAGATTAGAATTATAACAGAACAGTAGTTCAAACACGGTGTAACTGCTACTGTGCCATCGGCGACAGCAGATTGCCAGACTAGGTTACGAAATAATTCTGCCTGTTTTCGCATACTTCCACATGAGTTCATTACCTGTAGCGAAATTGGAAACTGATGAGTAATTCATAAAAGCGAAGAAGTTCAAAGCAGTCAGATTTTGAGACCGTGTATGAGAACTTCAAGGCATGCATGCAGCATGACACTGGCAAAATAACATAACATACGGCTGCTTTACGTGCACTTTTTCAAGATCACGTGACTTTGTTTGACGTGTTAAAAGCGCTAACTTGAAGCAGATGAACTATTAACACTCCAGCTAAAACATTTCTCGCCTTTTAACACACCGAAAGGTGCAGCTGCGCCTAGTACGAACAAAAAGCAAACCTTATGTAGCACAAGTTTCTTTCAAATTGTTGCACATTCTCTGTGCTAACGCACCAGCATTTCGCCGATGAGCCTTTTCTTTATTCGTTATTCGGGGCGATCAATCGATTTCTAAAAGTAGGGAATCTCGACGGTCATGACAGAAACCATTCATGAATAAGCGGAGCACCTTAGCCGAACCGGAAAGCTAGGTCGGATCGGATTAAATGGCCAGATGTCATTCCGGTGTTCCACGCTCACTTTTGGTCGCAATCGGGATTTATTCGGATCAGAGGTCTCGAACGTGATTGGCTCTTTTAAAAAAGATGCAGAAGAATGCCATTTACTACTGAGAAGTTTCCTCGCGGTAAGTTTCAATCCCGAGATTCATAACCCACGCGTGCCAACACTAGAACACGAAGTTACCATGTTGACATGGTACGGCTGACCTATTCCATGTCAGACCTGCTTAGTTCTTCCTGTACGAATGAATGTACCTGGTTTTTAAAAAAAAGATTATCGGAGTTCAAATTTCATATTACGAAAAATCTGATGCAACAGTAAATTTGAGGCGGTGCGTCCAAATTGAATGACATTTTATCAATAAGCCGATGGTTCTTGTACTTTTGCTTAAAGGTCTGGCCATAGCGTGAAACGTTACGGCCTTATTATCTGAAACTAGACATAATGAGCAAGAACTATATAGCTCTTATTTGCAGCAGTGATTTTTTTTTTCAAGCTTCAGTTAGTGTCATTATTTGCTTAGAACTGATTGATTTTAATGTTTCTTTTATATACGGCCTACCCGCAGCGTGTGCTCACAAAGTAACGCCTTTGACAACCTGTAAAAAGGACTACAACAACAATAAAAGCGATAGCTGAGCACAGGTAGATGAAGACAGATAGATTAAGTATAAAAGATAAACATTAGTTGCATGTGAAACCTGTGCAAGGAAAGCATCAAGGAGGACATATTTAGCGAACTTGGTGCCTCTTTTGGCCGCAGATTAATGAGCGCTTGCTTCTGAGGCGCATTACGCCTTTAGTTTAATTTAAGACTAGTGGGACAAAACTTTTGTGGCGTGCAGACATGTCAGGGCAGTCTGCTTCAATGATTGGTGAAGCTGCTTAGAAGGGCAGCACGAGAGCTCATTTGTCTTCAGAAGCAAGGTTTACGTAATGCAATGCAAAAGTGCAATGGCACAGGGGACACGTCTTTCGCAACTAGAGAATTAGACTTCATGTTTCTTAAGTTTCCAAAAAAAAGAAAACAAAATATCTGGCGGCATTACATATTTATCAAGCTTACAGATTGCACACTTGCGTAACCGAAACGTTACGGACTTGGCAAGTGGGAAACATGCAACTAATTGGTAGTATATGTAGGTATAACGACCGTCGTTACATAACGGAGATGTACGGCTGCCCCCATTCCTCCAGTACTCCTTTTTTTGTTTTGTTATGTATAATTAAAATCGTCTGACTTCGCACTTCGTAGATTAGTTTTTTTTTCATCTTTCTTCACAAAGTTGTGGGCGATAATATCCACAGTGCTTTTTCAGAGACGTGGTCTGAAATCACTTAGCTATGAAAAAACTAACTGTCGGGTTTGTTATTCTTTGATCCTGCCTTTGAACTCTCCAGATACCTCGCATAAACAACGTCATCAGGTCAATCGTCAAGCGTATAAAACTATCAACAAGAACGCATTAGTAAGTATCAAAAGAGTTTTTGTTTCAAAAGTCGAAGCGGAGCATTCGTGAACATTTGTAAAAAATTCTAGAAAGACACCAAGAACGAAACAACACGTTAACAATAAGTTTCATGTCCGCGTTTTGGGCTACCGTTCAAAAATTGTCAACTCCGACGGTCCACCATCCTCAACACGTTGCGAAGTGCTTGAAGGAGTACATACAACGCAAGCGGCTGAAGCGTTGTTACGGACAGGCGTGCGAAGAAACGATTAGGGCAAAAGCGAAGTTGCACGCAAAGTACCCCATCCACATAAATCTCCTTCACACGTTCGGGACTAAGCGTAAGGGCTCGCTTCGCAACGATCAAAAACGCCACACCGCGAAGGCGTCACTCCACATCATAAATTTAACGTTTTGCAAAGGCGAGAATACACCGGAGTTTCATTTATCACTTCTGGTGAAGCTGACCGCCTTTCTTTTTTTTTAAATTGCGTTTGGCTCGGGTTCCTGTCGTAGAGAGAAAAGTACGAAACTATTTCTCCATACGTTGTCAGTAGAGATGTAGAAACTACTGCACCAGCGTTGCAACAATATGCCGTGAATGACCCAACGTCAAGATTGCTTTTGTTTTACTCCATCCTCCTTGCATCTTAATCGCTTTGGGCGCATAATCCCGGCGTTATCACGGGCAGAGTGAAGTAGCGTAGGTCGCACCACTGACAAAGCGGGAAAATGAATAGCGTGCACAACAATCACCAGGTGAACTCCAAGACCCAACGCGTTGCACCTAATATAGTGTCCGAAATAAGTATAAGCCACGCATTTTCACCGAGATTTGCAGCATTTCAAATAGACCAAGTAATGTAGTACGCAAGCGCCAAAAATACTATACGGAAATTTAGTGGCGTGGTTTATCGAAGATGATCCATCAATGTGTGTATCATTTAGTGCAGTATGTCGGAAACCTGCACTTGGTCAGCTCTACTACTAGGCACGTGTACATAACAACTATCGAATGGCAGCTTAACTGCATAAAATTCACCTAGTAGTGTATAGTTGACATAAATTCAACAAGCAGTGAATGAACTTCGCTTCGTAGAGACGGCGTTTTGCTACAGTGCGATGTCAACACGTTGTGCATCACATTCAGACGAAACGAGAGGCATTCACCTGGTGTCTCGTCGTCCTGCAGGTATCCGCTGACAAGTGCCGGCGTTGTAGTCAACGCAAAAGCGAGCACGAGCACCGCAGACACCACATAGGCGAACACCGGTGGTGGCGGCAGAACTCGCAGCGTAGCCCGCGATGGCGCCATGGCGCGAACCGAATCGGCTCCTCTTCGAAGCGGCGCGCCACTCGGCTGGAGCCACCGGCGACAGGGGCACGCTCTGGCGGCGGAAGCGTCGACGTCGCGGCCGCAACCACCACCGCCGCTGCTGCTGCTGCTGCTGGGTTCGATGCGGCGGCGCTGGACGCCCGTTCTGCGGCAAGCTGCGCAGAAAGTCCCTGGCGCAACGCCTCTCCTCGCGCTCCTTCCTCTTTTGGGAAGCTCTCTTTCATCTCTCGCCGAACAGGAGTCCCTGAGCCCGCGCCAGGGCTCGGCGATCCCGCAGGTCATCGATACGGTGGTATAATTGAGCGGGCGGAGCCATGTTCGGGTAGCTCCAGCAATGCCATCACGCACACTTCGAAAAAGGCAGCGGCCGGTAGCTATGTTTACGTGCAACGCGAACCAGCACCTCCGAAAAACGTCAAAGGGCTCGTCAGGCGAGAACAGGTGGATAGCAAAGTGCAAAGCAGCTCCGTGACTCACGTGTGTAACGCCATGCATACGTGCGTTCGTATGAACGCACCGCAGTGATTTCCCCTCGCCGCAAGTGTTGGAGCGGTGCGAAGTAGGTTACGACACAGCTGCGTGTTGACGTCATGCTCCCCTCGCAGTGGGCGCTGACATCAATCTCTCTCACCTGCCGCACGCTCGTCGCAACGCTTGCAGCTGCCACCTCGTCCGTTCATCGGCAATAACTGCCGCTACAGCCGCTCGCACCGCTACCGCGATGACCACTCACTAGACCGCCGACTCAACGGTACTGTAAGAACGTTCCGGAAACTTTCAAACACGCTTCTGCTCCGAGTGCGTTGCAGTGCGCGTCGGTGAAGTAGCAACCTCACGCTGTACCTCACTCCCAACCTACCGAAGAAACAGCCTCAGCGCTGTCTGAAGAACACGCTGACTGATCGCGGCGAGGCGTGTTGACGTGTGCCACTTATAGTCGTGGGAGACGTCAAAGTTGACGTCAGCGGACGAGGAGGATGGCTCTTCTTTTGCATGCGTGACGTGTACTCGCTCAGATGCGTGTCGGTGGTGGAACGGAAATTTCCCTCCACGATAAGGAGTACTTGCATCGATCTGGTCTTTGCCAACTTCGATATCGCATGACTGCAGAAACCTTGAAGTTCACCAATACCAAGGCCATGGTACTCAAGGCGAAACGCGCGCCTGCTCCGGTCCTGCACCCGGATCTCTACTCTGCAGAAACGACGTCTACAAAGTTTTGCCAAAAGATTTAATGAAACGTACACGAACCGCACCCGGCCCCCGTGTCTGCATTGCAAACAGACGTTAACTCGAAGAAACGCTACACCGAGTTCTGCTTCAAACCGTTAATCCAACACGCGCATCACTACCGGGTCGTCGCCATGTGCACCACTGCTGCTTCGTATTCTATCAGGGTTTCATTGGGGGAGGTGGTCCTTAATTTTTCGTTTTTTTAATGCGAAGCATTTCTTAAGGAACTTAGCCCTCATCGACCTTATCTGTCTAACTATCTAGCCCACGATGACCTTTAGCTCTTCTTGCCATCTCGATAATGGTATCTATAGCAATTGGCATGCCATAATCGCTGTACGACAAGCATAGGTTACTAGTTATAACATAAAAAATTGGCAGATCCCACAAACAGTGAGAGTCGATGATATCTGAAGCACGAATGAGAAAGGTTGGTATGTCACTTTAAAATGAGCACAACGTTACGAGGTGGAGGTCAATAATGCCCTACATGACTTCTGTGTCATTCTTATCATGTTTGGATGTGTCGTTTACCTTCGTCATCTATAAATGTAACGTAATACCAAATTTATTATATGTGGAGCTAGTGAACCGGCTGCGAGAACGCTATGAGCGTGGTATGTTGTCATGTTCTTACATGAATGACACGCGTGCCGGGATCATCATGTTTGCACCAGTCAAATACTTTCGTCATTCATTGATGTCACGTAACACCAAATTTCGTATATGTGAAACTAGCAAAACACCCGCGAGCGAGTTATGAAACGCCCAGTATACTCCAATGTAGCGTTGACGCGCGCGTACGCTAGGCACAGTGACGATACGTTTGCAAAACGCGAGCACACAATAGGCTCACGCCAGGCGCGACGGGCGCGACGGGTGCGACCAGCGTTCATCGGCACGGCCCGATGGCAATCGGCGCGAAATGCGACGTGCGGTATGTCGCACCGGCGCATTACCCAGACACCACTGCGTCTCTTTCTTTTCGTGACGGAGGGACGCCGGACGCGCTGAAACGTGCATGCATCAAAGTAAAGTGCCAACCACTGGCACGCGTATGCACGCTCCTACGCGTCAAAAGCTTCTAGTCGCGCCTGTGGGGGAAAAGGGCGCGCAACCACTGGCACGCGTCAACCGCGTTGACGCCCACGCGTCCAAGCCGATGCAGAATGTTGCTTGACCTTTTGGCTTAGAACTGTCCAAGTTCAGCACAGAACGGCACGTTCCTAACTGGAGCGGGTTTATATGTTTTAGAGGATATGAGAACACGTTAAAAAATTGATGGTGCTTCACCCGCCACAGTTTAAACTATTTTAGAAGTAATTGACATTCCAGTGTCTAAAGTAACTACAGCGTTATGCACCAGAAATTAACATCGGTGCATACGCCGCTTCCACGAATGAACATTCGCGTCTAGCATACAGCACGTCTATCATAGGTGTGTGCAGAGTTCTCCTTAAGGGAAGGTGGGGGGGGGGCAAAAGTTTGTCGCAGTGCCCTCCTCCATGTAAGGGCTGACTTAGCGCCCCCTCCCTATTATGTTAAATATATGGAGTTGACATTGAGCTCCCCCCCCCCTCCTCTCTTCGGTGAATGAGGCGGTGGCTGCCCTCCTGATCAGGTTTACAAACCACCGGGTTTCTATTCCTGCCCTACCAAATTTATTAACAATATCTTGAATATGCTGGTACCTTCAGTATATTTACACATCATATTTACACTCAATTTATTAATCATGTCTGAAACTTCATGATCTGACAGATTTAAGTCAGCCATAAAACTACAATGGACGCCAGAGTAGCAGGCTTTCGGTTGATGTGTGTGTTCAAAATATCCTCTAATGCCACAAAACACACCTGGTTCTTATTGATACAACAGATATTGGTCATAAGATAGGAACCAAATACTGTGTAGAATGCCTCCGGGCATTTTCCATAGTCGAAATGCGCTCTATTGCAACTAACTGTGCCTGACACTTCATGATGTGACAGATATCGGTAATATTATTGGAACTGAACCCGGTATGGAATACCTGTGGACGTTGTCTTTACTCAAAGTATTCTCTAAAACGACAGACGACGCCCAACTGTTCATGAAGTCACAGATATCGGTCACAATATTAGACCTGAAACCCTAATGCGAGACTTCTGGACGTTGTCTTTAGTCAAAGTGTTCTCTAAAACGACAGACGACACCAAACTGTTCGTGAAGTCACAGATATTGGTCATATATTAAAATTGAAACCTCAATGCAAGACTTCTGGACGTTGTCTTTAGTCAAAGTATTCTCTAAAACGACACCCAACTGTTCATGAAGTCAGAGATATCGGTCATAATATTGGAAGTGAACCCGGTATGAAATACCTCTGGACTTTGTCTTTACTCAAAGTATTCTCTAAAACGACAGACGACCCCCAACTGTTTATGAAGTCACAGACATTGGTCATAATATTTGAAATGAAACCTTAATGCAAGACTTCTGGACATTGTCTTTACTGAAAGTATTCTCTAAAACGACCAACGACACCCAACTGTTCATGAAGTCACAGATATCGGTCATAATATGAGAACTGAAACCTTAATGCAAGACTTCTGGACGTTGCCTTTAGTCTAAGTATTCTCTAAAACGACAGACGACACCGAACTGTTCTTGAAGTCACGGATATCGGTCATAATCTCAGAACTGAAACCTTAATGCAAGACTTCTGGACGTTGTCTTTAGTCAAAGTATTCTCTAAAACGACAAACGACACCCAAGTGTTCATGAAGTCACAGATATTGGTCATAATATTGGAACTGAAGCCTGTATGGAAGGCTTTTGAACGTTGTCCGCAGCCGAAATGTTTTTCAATGCAACAACCCACACCCTACTCTTCATGATGTGACAAATTTAGGTCATGAAGCTGTAATTGTACCCTGTGCGGAGGGCTTTTGAATGATAAGCGCATTGGAAATATCCTCTAATGCAAAACGGCATCTGGCTCTTAATGATACAACAGACACTGGTCGTAAGAATGAAACCAAGCACTATGTAGAAAGCCTCTGGGCATTTTTTGTAGTCAAATTACGCTCCAATGCAACTAACTTGTCTTGAAACTTTCCTGATAAGACAGATATTGGCCATAGGACTGCAACTGAGCCCTGTATAGAAGACTTCTGGATGTTGTCTGTAGTTTTTTTTTTTTCAATCAATCAATCAATCTGATTTTTATTGCCAAACCAAGGAAAAAATTACAACTATCTGGACCGTTAGCCTACATTGGCTAGTGATCGTTCCATATCGTAGTACATAAAAGCAGCTTAGCAGAGCATATTTAGCAATAAACACATATATACACAATTATTTATACATATTACTATTTACATATGCACATACATACTACATACATAAGCGCGTGTGCATATATGCATTTTCACAACATACCCAAATAGTTTGTTTTTCATCATCGTCATATATAATAAGTGACAGGGTAAAAGCACTAATTAGCGCAGGAGAAAGTGTGGAAAAAAACCTATTTATATGTCTTGATGCGGCAAGCAAAATAATTTCACACCGTGCTTAAAATTTCTTGCCACTTTAACTTATAAGGGTAGTCAGTTCCTAATTTTAGTCTTATGAAATTCCAATGAGCGTTTTCCATGTAAGTTATAGCTTGTAGGTAAGTTAAAATTGCCATTCAGTGCGTGTCTAGGGTTTCGCGATGGTATTGTAAATAAAGTGGAGGAGAGGGGAAAGCTAGTGCCTATAAT